AGGTGGCAGCCCTAGTTGGCCCTGAGATGGCATCGGGTCCCAAGTGCCCGTATGATGTGGCACATTGTCCTTCTGGGATGGCAGAGTGTTTGTGGTGGTGGGGGGGGGGGCAAAACTTCACAAGAGCCCCCTCCCCCCCAAGCTACCCCCACCCCCGTGTAACTTTAGCTTCCTTTTTCATAGTTTGTTGATTTTTGACGTCGAAGCTGATTTTGAACAACGGTACTGTGTATAAATAACAATAATAACCAAGGTGTTTCCTCACGTTTTGAGTGACGTTCAAATAAAACTGTTGGTTGTTACGAGCGGTGCTGTTTTGTCGTGTTCATTACTGTCCGACGGAGCCATTGGCACCTCCGATTTGCACGGTTGGCTACGTACGGTGCTAAAAAAGTTCTACATACAGTACAGCCCTGCTCAGCCAATAGTGGAATGTCCACGTCCCTATGGCCGGGTAGAGTCCATCCATAGGGCAACCACTTTTGACTTCTACACAAAAAGCTTAGAATTGATAAATATATCATCATCATCATTACGTCTGGCGGGATTATTTAGCCATAGCAATTCACTGGTGAATGAGGATCGGAAAAGTGAGGGAACATAGAAGCACAGCACAACAATGGTTGTTAGAGTACTGCCCCTGCCTCTACTGCTCACCACGTGATGTGAAGTGGACCAGTAAATAATTTCATCTTTAACCTTTTTACCCGTGCAGACATGAAAAATCACGACAACATCCCATATAACTGGTAGGAACCTCCTGGTTACACCAGCCCACAGGGGATTATTGTGTCCGTCCGTCGTGCATCCAAAAATGGGAGTGGTGGGGCTGGGTGGAGAGGGAAGGGTGGGGAGGGGCTGGGTGGGGAGGGTGGGGCTGGGTGGGGGGTGGGAGTCGTGGGGCTGGGTGAGGAGGGACTGGTCACCCCTTGGTGCCCTTATAAAACTCAACGTTTAACCTACTCACTCCGGCTTGTGCCGGGGGGGGGGGGGGGGTCAGACATTAGTGACGATGTGTGACGAGGGGGGGGGTGAGAAATGTGACGTCACATCAAAATGTGCAACCTTAAATAAATATATACAACACGTTCTAGTTAATTAAATAGTTCTAGTTAATTAAAGCTACTGAATTAAATAGACTTTTTAATAAATGTTTTCTCCTACAACATCAGAGTGCAGCGCCACATTAAATACGCACTACAATGACAATAGTTTAAAGCGATTTGAAGCATGTTTTATATTTGGGGGGGGCAGAGCTTTGTGACGTCATATTTAAGGGGGGGGGTCTGACTTTTTGTGACGCAGTGTGACTAGGGGGAGGGGGGTGAAAAATCGTCCAAAATCGCGTGACGTCATTTATGGACGGCCCCAAACACAAGAGAGACCCCAGAAAAAAAGTTCAGTGGAGCCCCCCCTCGGCAAGACCCCATCTGCGTGGCCGTAGCCATGGCAACGGTGAGCGCGTGCAGCCTGGTGGGGGAGGGGCGTGGCGGGCGGGGCGGGCGGGCGGGGCCTCCCGCGCGGTGACGTAACCGTCACAGTAGCCCCGCCCACTCAAACTGTTATCCCTCCGCGGTGGTGGAGCCCCTGCGCCGAGTTACCGCCCTGCAGCGAACGCCGCCGCCGCCGCCTCCGCCGCCGCTCTGCGTGTTCGCCCCCCGTCGGTCCACGGCTGCGACGAGAAGGTCGGTGGACGAGGTGGACGAGGTGGTTGGTGGACGACGAGGAGGACGAGGAGGAGAAGCACGGTCGGGACGAGGGTGAGTGGAGTTGCGAGGATAACGGAGGAGCCGAGGCGAGCGCCTCTGCGCCCTTTCACGAGTCGCCGTCTCTGGCTGCCACACTTTTTGTAACACGACGATTTGTAACATCACTCGTAACATTACCGCCAAGACAATACAGCAAAGTCTTCGCTGTTCCTCCACGCTGCATTCACCACTCGCCAATGCACTCGGCCGCTTCAAGGCTCAACGCTTACGATGACGACTTCGCCACTAAGGGCTGAACGATTTGAGGTAAATCATCTTAATTGCGGTTTGATTTGCGATTAAATGTGTTTAAAGTCACGCTTCAGTTCAATGTTAACTGTGTGATGGATTTAAAACATTTTATACGGAGCATTAACACATGATTCCATCAAAATATGAACTGCTCTATATATTCAAATGCAAAGATGATAACTTAAAATATATTAATTGCTTCCAACGTGTATTTATTAAAATGTTTTAATTGCAATATAACAAACAAACATAGAACAATTGTTAAGGTAAATAAATAAAGTTACAATAATAAAATAATAAAACAATTCCGATAAGAAAGTAACAGGACTTTTAAAATCGCAAAAAAATCTCAGCCTTTGCTATTTGCTAATCGCATTGTTTCTGATTTCGATTTGAAATCGATTAATCGTTCACCGCAACAGCGAGTTCAGCTTCAGTTTTCATGTATTAGGTATATCCCTTGAATCGGGTGCAACCGTAACAAACAACAAACAAAAACATGAACAAGAAAACATCTTAAAGTGAAATTTCGATTTAAAGCTTTCGTGACTGCAGGGATTCATTTTCTTGGTTATTTCGGTAAAGTCACGTAGAAGGGAAATGATTAAATAATAAAATAACAAAACATAACACAACGCAAGCAGCCGTCCTTGCACATGGCTAGCTCGTATTGTGTCAACCCATACGGTTTACCCCGTATTCTTGCCCAGGCAAATTGAGTTTTCAAGTCCATACAGCGTACATCCGTTTCAATACGGGCAACAAACAAATTGTTTTGACTATCTGTTTGTGTTTCTCCCTTGTGATGGGATCTTTGTAGGATGAACGTTGAGATTTATAAGGAGCGCGGGGTGACCAATAAGGTCTGAATTTGTCCGTAATAAGTTAGGCGCTGATAAGGAGTTGACAGGTATGCAAGCTTGTCACACGCATTGTTACGCTTACCATTCATTCTACAAGTGTCAAGTTCGTTGTGTTTAACCAGGCAGGTACAGGAAGTCAAGAAACCAGGACCGGGTCTCATTTACAACACTGGCAGCTACTAACACGACTGGATTAAGCTCACTGGCACACTCACTATACCACACACACACAACTCCACTCGCTAGCACACAACGACACTTGCTACGAGTAACATTCACCATCATTACACCACGTACTCCCGCGGCTACACTGTCACACTACAATTCACACTCGGCATCCTCATCAGGAATCCGCTCCCTACGTCACTGCAGTCCAGTTTAATCAACATCATCGGTAACTTTACAACCACCACTGCTATCATCATCATCATCGGCAGCAGCAGCTTCACAACCACCACTATCATCAGCAGCATCTTGCCAACAACCACTGTCCTCATCAGCAGCAGCAGCTTTACAACCACCACTACCATCAGCAGCAGCTTTGCAACCACTGCTATCATATGCACTACAGTACGTTAGTAAGTAGCTTTACAATCATCACTGCTATCATCATCAAGAGTAGCTTTAGAACCATCACTGCTATCAATCATCGGCAGGAGCGTCATAACCACCGCTGCTTTCATCCTCATCAAGCGGGAATGATGAAGATGATATGCTGCTCTATTTCAATGAGACCACAGATGTTCAGTCGTGATCTTACATCAACACCCGGTCCCCAGAAGAACGTGGAGTAATCTTACATCATCTTCACCTCATCATCAACACCCATCATCATCACCATCCCCTCACCCACACCTCACATCCCCCCCCCCTCCGCCAATCTCTTCCGCTCTCACCCTAATCCATCATGTCCTCACCCACTCCTCCCTTTGACCTCATCCCTTCATCTACATGCCATCTTCTCCCCTCATCCCATCTCCTCCGTCTCCCCTCCTCCCCTCGCACGACCCCCGCTGGGCCCTGGTTGCCGAGAGACCGTGGCCACTGCTGCTTGAAGATTTCGAGGCCCTGGCGCCGGAGGGAGGAGGGTGCCCAGAGATAAACCTCCCCCACCCCCAGCCAGACATCACCACGGGAAGACCCCACGATGAGCCATGTGGAGTAGGATGCCAAGCAGGAGGGGCTCACTGGGATACCAGGCTTGCTTGGTTAATGTGTAACCTGGTAATTGGTTTAGCCGCGCGTGTAAAAGCTCCCAGGTTGAGTCGTATTCACGAGAGATCTTATCTTTTATGGCAATAACAGTAATAGTATTACTACTACTAGGCTTGTTTACTCACGAATGCCTCACTGAGCCTCAAGACTTTTCTCAGGAGGGTCCTGGTAACGAACGTAACTTGCGAGTCCTTTTAAAAGTTTTGCAAAATTACAGTGTGACAGCCAGCATGGCGAAGCAGTATTTTATGGTTAATGCACCCGCATGAGCTGTTTCTGAGGTTGCGTCAATTGCACGCGAGGTCTTTATCTAACAGGGTTTTTGTTTTGCATTCTTGTTCGTTTTCTGCAGCCGCTGCGCTGACATTGCCGTCGTCTGAAACCTTCGACGGCGTCGCACCGCCGGAGAGATAAACTGCCCACCCCCCGCGAAAGCCAGCGCCACACACAACCGCTTCCTGTCACGACGACGAGCGGCGGGTGTGCGATCGCGTGCCCGCTGACGGGAGGCCCGAGCGCGGCGGTTGACACAGCGCTCTCCCCGCAATGGTCTCGGCTGCCACCACCTCTGCCGCTGCCGCCGCCGTGTGCCACAACCCCCGGGACCGTGACGCACCGTGGGGAAAAAGCACCCTCTGCAGCCAGCGCCACCGTCGTCCCCACTCGCGCCCCCCGACTCCGCCACCTGGCTCTGATTTCCTGGAATGTAAACTTCGAGTTCAGGAGGAAGTTACTGGCTGACTTTCAGCACGATAGACATCCCGGTGCTGGGCACGTGTTACGGGTGGGTTCTTGTGGTGGTGGTGGTGGGGGGGGGAGAGGTGGTGGCGGTGCGGATAATCACGGGAGGTGACCGCGGTGCGTTTGTCGTAGCCGCGCTTCAGCCGGCCGAAACTTCCGACGCTGAAACCTTGAAGCGGCCATGCCGATCCGAAGGTCGTTCGCTCCGGGCACTGCCCAGCCGAACAAGCGGCACTCGCGCTTGGACCTCACCCCGGACATGATCAGCGGGCCCATGGGTGACTTCCGGCACACGATGCACGTGGGCCGCGGCGGGGACGCGTTCGGCGACACGTCCTTCCTCAAATCCGACTCGAAGGCGCCGGACGAGGCTCCCCCACCCCCGCCCGACGCCGTTCCTCCGCTCCCTCCGGGGGGCACGCGTACCTGGGCGGCGGTACCCGAGGGGGACGAGCGCGAGCAGCAGCCGGCACTGCCGCCTCAGCCACCGCCACCCAAGAAGGAGAGCTTCCTGGCGCGGACGCTGCGCGCGAGCAAGCGGTCGCTGTCGGCCAGCCGGCGGAGCAGCCGCGCCTGCTCACCGGCGCCGTCACGCCCCCTCTCCCAGAGCGGATCGCTCCCCCAGCTGCAGCAGCAGGACACGGGCGAGGGCGTCGGCGGCGTTGGCGGCGCCGAAGACCGCGGCGCCGGAGGCCCGGGCGTCCGCGCGAGCCTCACGCGCAGCGAGTCGGCCGAGGGGCCCCCGTCCCAGCCCATGTTCCCCGTGAAGCAGAGGCCACCGCTCGTGGGCCAGCGGCTGCGCCCGTCGCACACCGACGGCGGAGGCGGCGCGGGCGGCTCGGGCCCCGTCAGGGCCGACCACCGCATCTTCGGCGAGGGCGGCGGCGGCAGCAGGGCGAACGGCGTTGCACGGGGCGGCTCGGTTCCCGACAGCCCCCCGCCGATGCTGAAGCACGCCGAGTCGGTGCTGTCCTTCCACGTGGACCTGGGCCCCTCCATGCTGGGGGACGTCCTCGGCGTCATGGAGAACGAGAAGTTCTTCCACGGCGGTGGCGGCGGTAGCTGCTGCGACGACGACGACGAGCCGCCTCTTCAAATCGACGAGAACCTGGAGTTTCTCGCACGGAAGACGACGCGGTCGTGGGGCTCTTGTCCGAGCCTTTGGCCCCACGCTGGGAGGGCAGGTTCGGGGGCGGCGGCCACGCGATCTCGGGGGCGGAAGCCGGCGCAGGGCCCAAAGAGGACGATGAGGACGACGACGACGACAGCTCATCGCGGCCTCCGTCGACTCGGTGCTGCTGTCGCCCACCACCGTCCGCACCCAGGTGTTTGGCGACACGGATGATGAAATCCCGTGTAGGAACGCACAAGCGGCCTCCGCGTTCCAGCTGTAAAGGTTTACCCGGCCGAGGAAGAGAGAGAGGGAGGGAGAGCACACACTACTTGACTGTTTTCTACCAAATGCGCATATTGTCGAGGAGAGAGAGGACCGTTGAGTTTTAACGAGGGCTTTTTTTTTTACACTCCCATTAATATTTGTTTTTATTTTCCACTGATTCTTTGTGATGCTGTGCACCAAGGGATCCGAGTCGTTGGTGTAAAAAAAACAACAACAAAGCGACTGAAAGGGGTGCTCGTGAGATTGGGCAGCGCCATCGCTGCACAGGACGTTGGGTGGCGGTTTGCGGCGACCATTGTTCTAAACTTGACGTTTTAAGGTTTTTGATTCGGGCCGTTAAACCAAATGAAACGAGGCGCGGTGGCAGCCAATCGGTCACAAAGCGCGCCCCCCCCTGCCCCCAGCACTCCACCCCATCCCGTTCCGTCTTTCTCGTGTGCGCGCCGTCCCCAGCGCTGCACGCTGTCCGGTCTCGTCACGCCGGGAGGGACGGGGCGGAAGACATCGCGCTGATGGTGTGTGCGTGTGTGTGGAGCGTCGTCGTCGTAGCAGTGCAAGCGCGCTCCGCGATTTGCCGTGACGCGCTGCTCCATAAATCACGCGGAGCGGAGCGGTCGGAGGCGCTCGAGCGCGTCATGACGGTGCGGGCAGGGGGGGCGATTTACGGCAGGTGCGCGAGAGATTCAAAAACCGCAGTTTGTCACTTTGCTTTTATCTGTAAGTCAACGGACGACATGTGGCAGATAAATTGCTTTCGCTCACTTAGCGGGGGACGTTTGATTTAAATGTTTCTCTTTTATTCTTTTTGTCCCCTTAAGGGGCGTGAGCTGTCTTCCGTGTCCCGTTGGGCATGATGACGGCCCGCCCTCGCCCCTTGCCTCGTGTCAATTGGCGACTCGGATACTTTTCAGCCATTCCTGCGAAATCAAAACGTAAACCGTGTGACCAGGGTACAGCTTCTCTAACGAAGTTGCGTTCCACTTAGGGCTAATTCTTTTTTAAGTACTCGGCGTGAGGAAGCTCGCCCATTGGTAGCTGCCTGACTGGGGGTTAGGCATGGGGGGGGGGGTGTTAAGCGTTTTGTTATAAGTGCCCCCTTAAAGTGGCGCCGCGTGAATGAGCGGTGCTAGAGCGGCCCACTCTAGACGGCACAGTGCACGTCGTCAACTCAAGACGGCACAGTGCGCGTCGTGTTGATGTGCCAACCGTGGGAACGCTGTCCTGGCTTGGCGGCAGCTGGCGCTGCTCGACGGCAACAACAACAACCTCTGGGGTGTTTTGTGAGGTTTTTCTTTATTCTTCTCGTGTTGTGTTCAAGTTCGTGAAATCGCCACGACAAGCCGAGTCGGGAGATGTTCATCCTGGACCTAAGACGGAACTTTAGGGTGCGGTGGCTGAGGCTCCAGTATCACGGCCACGCTGAGACGGCTGTGCGTTGATACGTGCGGTTCAGCGAGCGCGCCTGAACATGCAGTGCTTCCTCGGTAGCCTAGAACAACGGGCGTCGGGATCGACAAGCCTGTCGACCGGCACGATGTCCCGGTGTGCGATCAAGTAGGCGTTGGTTAGTGTAGCGCTGCGCGTTGTGAACTCTTAACTACCTAGTGTTTT